AAGTGCTAATTCCTTACAAATGTCACTCTGTTTTACTCCACTTTTTATTTTGTTAATAATCTCGTACTTTTCATTTAGTGAAAAAGCTTTGCGTTTTGGTTTTTCCATTCTAAAAGGATTCACATTCTTTCATTCTAAAACTCTCACTAATATAAACAACTCCGCACGATTCGTGTTGCTGAGCGTGGAAGTTCGTTATAAACGGAAAGTGAATATACAACTAACCTAAAAAGTGATCGGTATATCCGGAAGTTCGTTATAAACGGGTTCGTTATAACCAGTAAAAAAATTCGTTGGTCTTTATGGACGACGTTTCAATTAAAGGAAAAAAGTTCGTTTTAACCGAAAGTTCACTATAACCGGGTTCATTATAAGCGCACTTTACTGTATTAACGTTCTTTTAGGTCTTTGTCTTCTTGAAACCTCAAATTTGTCTCTTTTCACGACAAAAGGAAAGATAAGAATATAACAACAAGCACACACAGTCAGAAAAATAAATCAGAACTTTTTTAAATTTCATTGATTATTGATTAGCTTAGCTAGCATACAGGGTCCCCACAACAATGCCTCAAATGATCAATAATGAATGATTTATGGCATTTATCGCGGTTGAATTATACAACGGATTACGGGTGTTTAAAGTAATAACATAATTTATAACCAAATACCTTGCGAAAATTGTTTTAGGCCAGCTATGAGCTAAATAACAGGGGCAAACCAAAGCAACAATACAAACTGAAATTCTTCGATCGATAGAATTGCATTAATTGCAATTAATAACCTGATCGATAACTTGATCAGAATCGAACAATTTAATTTCGAATAACAATCGGCCAACACTAGACTTTCAAGGTATTGCGGAGATTTCAACACTCGAGCCATCCAACAACCCGTTCAGTTGGCGCAACAGCAGCCATTATTAAATAATTGTTTTATTTATTAAGCGACATCAATAATTCCAACAGAGAGCAAAAGTAAATGGAATTTAATCTAAGCTGTTCGTTGGTGCCAGTCGAGCCATTCAGCACAACGCGACGGTACGTCCATCCACGTAATTTGATAATACGTACCAATTTCAAACAAACAACAACTCCTCACACAAGACAAATTAATTTTAATCAGTTTGACGAAAAGAGAGATTCGTCGTCCATAAGTTATTCAGCCTTCCATCGAGCTGGCTGTTGCCCACAATCTACGCCCAATTTTTTTCGTTTTAAGTGTTCGATGGCTCCAGTAATGGAACGTGGTCGATTCGAGCATATCAGTGTGAAAGTGAACGAGAACGATCTGGAAACCGGAGCTGTGAAGATTTTGAGAATTATCCGACCTGAGTGGCAAGTGGCCAACATCAGATTCAAGGTAAAAAAAATATATAAAATCCTCTCACTGAATCATTCGCTCTTAATTCGTATCACCCTGTATATTTAACAAAAATCCCAATTGATAAACAATTGGTATCGAAATAATGCTAATTATGCAAATTCAAAGTGATGTTTGATTGTTTCATTGCACTCCCAGATAGCGCAGTATATTTATTGATTGAACTTTGGCCATCCCGTTTTAACATCTAATTTGATACTTAGAGGAAAGTGTTAAATACAAAAGTTGCAGACTTTGACGCCTAGTTTATTTTAAGATAGCATCAATTGATACAGGGTGTCTCCAAGTCAAGTGACAGACCAAACATCCTTTTTTTAAATGGAATGCCGTACCTACTTTGTGTTGCATAATCGAGCTACTCGTAAAATTCTAAGCCTCTTCGATATAGACGTTGTATAGTGATTTTCAACTGTTTTTGAGTGAATAACCAATACTGATTGAACTTTGGCAACCCCGAAAGTGCCAGTTTGGTCTGTCACTCGAATTTGAGACGCCCTGTATGAATTGCTGCTATCTTAAAACAAACTAGACCTTAATATCTACGACTTTTGTATTTAACTTTTTCTCTAATTTTCTAACTAGATGCTAAAACGGGGTGGCCAAAAAAACGGATCATGAAAAATGCGCTTTGAAAAAGCGGCCAATAAAGTCAAAGTTTGGATACTTTTTATGGATCAGCTGCTGATGGAAGAGGAACCGAATAACTGAAGATTTAAAGCTAAAATACAACAAAAGTCGCTAAACAACAATAAATATCACGCACCAAAAAAACCGATATCGAAATTTGGAAGGAAATGTAGTATGAAATTAAACTGTAAAGGTGGACAAACGGAGTAGAAAAATGTTGTTTTCGAAAATGGAGCTAATCCCTATTGAGAATACCAGGCCTCTTTAATTTAGAATGTAATTCACAGAAGAAAGCACCAATAAAT